AGTTCATGAACAAAGGCAGCTAGGTGGCACAGTACATAGAGTGTAGGACTTGGAGTAAGGAAAACCTGAATTTAAAACCAACTTCAAAGACTTGCTACCTGTCTGACCCCAATCAAGTCATGTAACCTGTGTGTCTCAATTTAATAATAATAATTATAGCACCTACATCCTAGGATTGTCATGAGAATAAAATGAAAAAAAAACAACATGTTTAAAGTGCTTTGCAAAACCTTAAAGCACTATATAAATACTATCATTATAATAATTATTAAATTATGGCATATTAATATTTGTGCTATATTAAATGATAAAAAGTGATGGTTTCAGAGAAACCTGGGAAGAATTGTGTGCGGAATAGGTGTCCTAATTTCCTCAGGCTAATTATGAGTTGGAGTGGAAATTAGGCTCTCCTGCTTATTCCCTAACAATTAAAATTGACCTCTAAATGACTAGTTATGAGGAAAACATTACCTCTACATTTATTAAAAGTGATAGTAAAATCCAATGTACAACTCATATTTTTGTGAGATTTATTAAAGGATATGATTTATTATAGAGATGAATTTTAGCTAGAAAAAAACTTTTGGATGAATATAGAAATCTGGGAGTACAACAACTGCCAAATGTTCCCCTTGGTACTTCCCAATGGAAATCTGCTTTTCTGGGCCTATAGAGTTTCTTCGAGTTTTGTGCTAACCTTCTACACACTGGTACAAGTACCTCTATGGATAGCAAAGAATTCATGATCTAATAAGGGAGAGAAAGAATCACAAAAGATAAAATAGACATTTTTTGCATAAAATATTTTTTGCACAGACAAAACCAATGCAGCTAACATTAAAAAGGAAACAGGTGGGTTTTTTTGGAGGGTAGAGGAGATCAGTAACTATATGAAGAGTGCAGGATGAATCTTCACCAGTGATGTGATGTGGTTTGAGGCTCAAATGTTTATGTAATAATAAAATACGTAAAACTGAAAAAGTTCCTTGATATTTCTGGGCCTCCATCACCTTACCTATACAATGAGGGGTTGGATTTGATGGCCTCTAAGAATACTTCCAGGTCTAAGTCTAGAATCCTGATCAGATCACATCTGGATACTGTGCTCAGTTCTGGATGCCTTCCCAATTCCTGCCTTTTAAAATGAACATTGACAAAATAAGAAGAAATAGATTTATTATGAGTACTTATAAAGGACAAGCAGATAGAAGTTAGAGGGCAACAGATATCAGGTCAACATGAGAGAATTTCCTCTCAGGGCTGTTGTTTGTTTCTCCTTCATTTTGAAGGGGGATTAATGGCATTACTGGGTGATGTCTTGACTCCCATGCAAATTGGATTTAAGTGAGGCAGAGCTGCACAAAGTCCTCAGCCACTTTCTTCCAGAGTCACCAAAGTCCGGTGGCAAGACAAAAGTCAAGATGACTTGTAATAGCCCAGGATACAGCGGATGACCTTGGCATCTTTAATGTCTGACTAAGCTCTAAGTGCTCCACACCACCTGCTTCAGCTTGCCTTCATGGTTGTTGGAACAAATTGTCCTCATCCACCCATTCCATAGGGAGAAGTCTTCACATGCTTGGGGTAGACACCCCTCCAACTCACCAGCAGGTCTGAGGCTTGTCAGTTACCCTCAGTCTGGTTTAGCCAGTCTGCTGAATGGTTTTCCCAGAGGGTAGTCACTGTGCATGCTACAGCTTCTTAGAGCCACAGGCAAGAGTCGGATGAAGATGGATTTCCAAGGTAGTCCTCCCTGAACATCCCATACACCCCCCCCTCCAAGGCTAACCAACAATGGAATGAGCTGTTTTTGAGGTAGTGAAATCCTTGCCATTGAAAGTATTCAAACAGATCAAGTACTCTCAGGCTCACTACCCCAGCCAAGCTGGTTATATCCCCCCAGCCCAGGAATCTAGAATATTCTCAGGGCTTTAGAGAGTATTACTTCTCTAGCTTGAGCTCCCAGTGACTGTGCACTCTCATGCACACATTTTTAGGTGCCAATGACTAGCATCCCAGTCTACTTAACCATTTAACATTAGTTAGTCATTACAAAGGAATAATTACGAAGAGGACATTTACTTTGAAGAAAGGAGACAAATATTTATTAAACACTTACCATGTGCCATGCGCTGTGCTAAGCACTTTACAAATATTATATTATTTGATTCTCACCATAACTCTGAGAAGTAGATGCTATATATGTATATAAGTATATATATAATAGTATATATTTTATAGTTACATACAATATATAACATAACATAACACAATACATTATCATATATAGTGAATTCCTTCATAGAATTTGTTCCAGGGTAGGCCTGACTCAGTCTGGTGTAGCACAATTAGAACAAAACAAGACACTCATTGACCATCTAACATTTAATATAATGAAGTTTATTTTAAAATAGCATGAGAACAATGCTCAGCAAAGATACAGCATTGGTCCAATTGGGCACAGATCCCTTGTCTCTGCATTTATCATGGTGGCATGCCTGATCAGAACTTGTGTCAAGCCTGATTTGTCTGTGACTCCTCATGGGCAAGGCTTTTATATTAAGACCAAGAAGAAACTTTAATAGTTGAAACCTTAGTCCTCTGGACCAATTTATTCTCAGAAATGATGGTTTCCTTCCTTTTTATTTATTTGTTTTGTTTTGTTTTGGCTAGGCAATGGGGGTAAGTGACTTGCCCAGGGTCACATAGCTAGTAAGTGTCAAGTGTCTGAGGCCGAATTTGAACTCAGGTCCTCTCAACTCCAGGGCCTGTGATTTCCTTCCTTTTTTGAAAAAAAAAATTAACTTAGCACATACGGTAGGTACCTTAGAGAATATTGCTCCTACCACAAAGTTATAACTTGTATAAAATGACTCAAGGCCCCAGTTAACTTTAAGATTCTACGATAGGCAGATACAATTAATTTCTGATCCTTGGTTTCCTTTTAAAAATTTCAGAATCTGAAGAAAAAAGAGTTCATTACAAAGTAGCTCAGCTGAAACTATTTTAAAATGAGTGTGACTCAAGCACAAATCATTAAGGGCACATCAAATCATCAATTAACATTCACCAGGGTTCATCTGCCTCTGTGGGCACATGAGACAACTAAGTGATTGAATAACACATTAATAGGAAAAAGGCAGCAGATTCAGACATTACTTGTATTACTTATACTTTTTAATACTAGTTTAGTAATAATACTTCTCTAGAAGAGTGTAAGGTAAACTGTAGGCAATATAACATGAGAAGGCTTGAATATAAACAATGAATATTCTGGTACCAGAATCTGAGGATGGTAAGATGGATGCTGTCACTCAACACCCCATATAAAATTTCCATATGCTGGGTTTGGGGGAGTATTTTTTGCATCAAATTGAAAAGTACTGATGAAGGAGAGGAGGATTGGTTAGGACAGACCACACACACAGAAGACAATTCAGATTTCAGAACCTCTTCCCTATGTCAACCAATTAACCCACTTAGTCATCTTTTATCTAAACTGAAGTACCTTCCAATAGAAGGGTATAAACTTCCCACTCAAGCTTTGTTTACATCACTCCCCTATGAATGTGCCTCCTTTAAAAACATTAGCTTCCTGTTAAATTGGGCTATTATTTTAAAAAGTATTTTTATGTGTCATATGAGGTAATACTTCACTGAAAATTGCTTGGAATCTTCCTTATGTTGGATTAAACCTTCTCTTTCAGCTGATCAATTTACAAGAAGTCATCCAACCTGATGTAAGCACTCAACTTTTCTTCATTCTCACACAATAACTACCACTCATAAAGGTAGATTTTAACCACGGAGAATACATAATGATTATTAATAGTGAACATCTTACCTACTGTGATGGTATAGGGAACTCCCAGTGAGGAAACTCACTTTACCAATTCTGATCAGCATCTGCTCAAGTAATAGAGGCGGGGTCTACCTGACTCCAAGACTAGGTCTCTACTCAATACACGACACTATAGCTTCCTTTATATACATAGGGAATACAAGTTACTAGTGGGAATAAGTGATCACTTCCTAAACTTGAGGTCTATAAGTACTTCTTAATTCATTCAAAAAATAATATATTCAGCTTGGTGAAATAGTAGACAGAGTGCTAGACCTGGAATCAAGAAGACCCAAGTCTAAATCTCTTCTCAGACACTTACTATGTGACCCTAGGCAAGTCACTCAACCTCTGTTTGCCTCAGTTTCTTCATCTGAAAGTGGGGATAATAATAGCCTACCTCCTAGGGTTGTTGTGAGCATTAAATGAGATCTCTGTAAAGTGTTTAGCACAGTGCCTGACACATTGTATAGGCATTATATTAAAGGTCAACTATAAAAATAATTATTATTGTTATTGATGATAACATTATTACTAATATTATTATTATATTACTGAGCCACTGTCAGTAACATGTGAAAGACCACAGACAATGAGGAATAACAGCATCTACCTCTCAAGATTGTTGTGAGAATAAAATGATACAATATTTATAAAGCTTTATAAAGCACTTTGCAAACCTTCAAGTGCTATATAAATGCTAGTTAATATTATTTATTATTATTATCATATTATTATCATTTACATAGCATTGTGGTAGACACTTTTTTTAAGAACACAAAAGAGGGGTATTGCTCAATTGTCCTCAACTTTAGAATTATTTTTCTCAGCTAATATATTTGTTTTTTCTCCAGTTTCTAAAATTTCTCCGTTTAGCCCTTTTACGTTAAGTTAAGAATATCTGTCAGGTATTCTCTTTTAAAATGCAAATTTCACTAGGAGGAGTAATCTATTCAGTGTTCAGCTGTTAGTTGACTGCATGCTTCCATTAGTGGGGGATAATGGCTAAGCACAGAGGGAATGAGAGCTTGGTAGGGGGGTGCTGGAACTAGTTTATGCCAGCTAGGGTGTCAAATTTTCAGTGTAAGCATTTACACCTCAGAAATTGGCAAATGCTACAAATCAGGGCTTGATTTATTGTTTTGTTGGTTGTCTGGACTTCAGATAGTAATGGAAAAATGTTAAAAATGCAAATTAAACTTAAAAGTATATATTGAGTTTTGGGGGAGTTAGTTGTTAAACGTTTGCCAGCACATGCCTAGATGTGGGGAAGCAGAAAAAGAAAAAAACTATTTTGGTGTGTAGGGCCCTAGGCAGCAATGACCACTTAGGTTAGGGGTAGAAGAGGAATAGACAGAGAAAGAAGAGGCGTGAAGAGTTAAAAGCAAACCTCCTGTTTCGCACTCTTGCTTGAGGCCAGCACCTCTTCTATCCTCTGGGCAGCCATAATGGCTTTTGGGAACTGGGTGGGCAGACAGATGGGCCTGGATTTGCTACACTTTTCTGGGTAGCAATGGTAGCTTTGATCTGACTATTGTTCTCTAAGCAAGAGGTGAAAAGGGAGCAATGTTACATGTGTGGTGGTGAGGCAGATGGGCCACTAACCCCATACAGGTTAGCTTCTGATGGCATGATTTAGGGTCTGGGCTGCCTAGCAATGCTACTGATAAATGCCAAAGCTGATAGAAAGAGAGGAAGGCTCACATGAAGAGAACATAGAAGGGCTGTCTCTTTCCTTATAGACTTTACATGACTGCTCATAAATAGTCCTATTATGTCTTAACCAATGAATTTCTAGTCAAAGATAGCTTAATTTTTAGTATATGTGAATGCCTAATGATCAAACATCTTCCAAAAATGTGATAACGCATTCTGAATACAAGGATTTAATTCTGCTGAGTGTTAATAAAGCCCATTGCTTAAGGTGGATAGCTTACATCTTACCAGTTCTTTCCTTCCTTTCACTCATTTTTTTTTCACCCTCACTCACCTGTGGACCTAAGGAGCTAGGATACTGAACACACTCCCTCTATGGAGCCTTCTAAAATCTAGAATGTTGCTCACAGTTGGAATTGGTGCATTCCTCTTAGGAACATAGCCTCTAATGAGAAAGATTAGGCCCATTTTTCTCATGATCTTCAGCTCATTACTCCCTAGGAATGATGTACTCAAAGATTGTCTCAAAGAACTTTATGTACAATATGAATCAGGTGTGATAGTTATTTATTTCCTACATACAAAATACAGAAAGACTTTAAATAAGATTCAGCTACTTAATTTAGATCTACTGCTATACTCTCCTGGGAAGTTGATACTTAAACTCATCAGAACATAAAACAGTTTCTGGGACTGCTAAATAGGCATTGTTCATTTTCACCTTGACTCTACGTTTGCTGTCAAAGTCCATTTCCACTGGCCAGATGAGCTAGGACATCTCTTCTTATTGCTGGCCATCTTCTCTGATGCAGAATCTCCCCTCACACCAGTCAGCTCCATTCAATGGACCTAGAACTTCAAGACACCTTGAACACAGATAGCCCAGAATTGTCCATCTCAAGACCAATGATGGTTACCTACTCATTAAAGGAAACAAACATTAGAAAAGGCAACCAGAGTCTTAGGTAGAATCTCACCTAGATCTAGTTGCCAAATGAGAGAACTCATCATATGGCCTGGATTGAGGGAAAGGGCTCTGTCCCTCCCCCATCCCCTTCATGGGAAACCTAGTGAGAAGGACATACCTGCTACACTGGAGAATTAAAGGTAGTCAGAGCCAAGAGTGGAATCATTCCCTTTTCTTAAAGGTCCACTGCTCTTCTCAGTCAATATGGGAATTACTTGATCATCTCAAAGCCCAAGAATCCTGAAACAGTGAATCACACAACAGAAAAGTAGTTAGGGGTCTTATCATTCTCCAAGCACCCCAAAACTAAGCTAGCACACATTGCTAGTCAGAAGCTTGAAGGGCAGCTTTGAATGGAACTGTTTTTCCCCCTTCTTTTCCAGTCTTCATTATAAAAGATGCCTTTCCCAGAGATGGGAGGGGAAAGTTATGATGAGAAGTGTAGGTGACAAAAATTTTTTTTAAAAGAATGCTCTTCAACAATATCTTCTCTGATTGCTTAAAGTTGTGAGCAGAATATGTTATTAGAAACAGAACACTGAGCACAAGTGAGCAGAGTTTACCATGATAATCATAGAAAACTTATCACAAAGGCAATCTGACACGTTAGGGATATGTTATTTTGTATATAATACATTCTTCTCATGTTCTTTGGAACTTTAGGGTTTGCTAAGTGCTTTCCCCAAAATAACTATGGAAGGGGTATTGTATTGCAAATAGTATTCTTCCTGTTTTATATATGAGGAAACTAAATCTTAAAAATGAGGAAAACTAAAAAGATTAGAAAGAAAAATAGACTAAAATATGCCTAGCCACAATTTTTGTAGAGGTGGGGTCTAGACCTGTGATTTCATTGTTTTTTGTTGTTGTTCAGTCATTTCCATCTTATCTGACTCTTGGTGACCCCATTTGGGGTTTTCTTGGCAAAAATATTGGAGTGGTCTTGCCATTTCCTTTTCCAGCCCATTGGAAGATGAGGAAACTGAGGCAAACAACATTAAGTAATTTGCCTGGGATCACATAGTTAGTAAGTGTCCAAGACCAGAGTCTTCCTGACCCCAGGCCTGGCACTCTATCAACTGTACCACCTAGCTGCCCCACAACTGGGGAATGGCTAAACAAATTGTGGTGCATGATTTTAAAGTAAGAAGCAATGAATTTGAAGATTACAGAGAAGTATGTGAAGACTTGTGTGATGTGGTACAAAGTGAAGTGTGCAGAACCAAGAAAACAATATATACAATGATGACAACAGCAATACAAATGAAAGGAATAACAACAACCATAAAAAAGAAGTGGATCCTATGTAATTACAATGATCAAGCACAACCCTGCAAAATGAAAAAAATGAACCTTTCTCCCATCTTTACAGAGGTGAAAGACTATGAGTGTGGAGTACTGCATATGCTATCAGACTAGGTTGATGTTTTGGTTGGTTTTGATGAATCTTTTTTTTTTCACCCTCTCTATTTTTTATTCACTATGACGGGAATGATTCTTTGGCTAGAAAAGTAAAAAAGAATATATTTAGAAATGTAGGTGATATTTTAAAAATCAATACTAGTTAACATTAATATACCCCTTTAAGGTTGAGAAAGCACTTTATTAATATTATGTAATTTGATCCTCACAGCAATCCAGCAAGGTAGGTGCTATTATTACCCCATTTTACAGATGGGAAAACTGAGGCAAACAAAGGTTAAGAAACTTGCTGGGGGTCACTCAGCTAGAAGTGTCTGAGGTGGGATTTGAACTCTCAGGTTCAGCATTCTATTTATCCTACCCACCCAACTGCCTTAACACTATTAAAAAGAAAATCAGGAAAACTAAGTTCCAGACTTATTTCCTCAAGACCATATTTATCTGGGAGAGCAGAGACTAGCACTCAGGTCTCCTGAAATCAATCCAAATACTATTTCAATGTAAGCACACTACTCAAATACTGTGCAAATCTTTTTTTTCCCCAAGACTAAGTCTCCTTGACTCTTTTCTATGAGGTTATAATAATGCTTTGTGTTGATACAGATGATGCATTTATTATCATCACTAAATGACCTTTGCTGAGTGACTATTGGGTATAGAATCATCATCATAAGAAGAATTAATAATAATAATAATAATAATAATAATAATTTCCATTTATATAGTGCTTTAAGTTTTCAAAGTTTTACATATACATATATGATCTCATTTGATCTCTCTATTAAATTTTCAGAATTTTATAAACAAGTTTTTCTATCTTTATTTCAGTAATAATGAAATTAGGGATCTGAAAATAAGTGATTTATAATCTTGATGATTATTTAAGATATCAATCTAATAATGCTAACAGTCCAGATTTCTTTTCAGTAAGGAAAGTACTAGGAAGGGGAAAGCATGGGAACCAGGGGAGTGCTTTGAGTGGTGAATCCACAAATGATTAATTGTTCACATATATTAATTTTCCATGCACAACATATATACTGCATATATATATATATATATAAATAGGCATACATATATTTATACAAAAATAGACATATATGCATATATATATATATACACATATACACACACATATGCACATACACACACAAAATGTACATTTGGAACATTTAATACTATTTTTAAAATGAGCAATGTATCCCTCAAGATTAAAATAGGTATGGTATTACTCAGGGAAAAGAAGATGGAAAAGGAAGGATTAAGAGGTTGACAAAATTTTTCCCTCAAATCTATTTATTCTTCTTTGAGGAAAAGGACTAAAAGAACTCTGGCTTCAAGCTTGAGTAAAGCAGCTCTTTCAGGATGTCACATTTATCAAAAGAAGGAAAAGCTTAGCACAAGAGTTTCAATGATAAATATCCAGTTTTGTTGTCTCAGGATGGAGTATCCAGAATGAAGGCCTGATGAAGAAAATATTTATCTACCTGAAGACTGACACCTAGTTCAAATTATACCCCCATCAAAACTTGTTCCAAATTACCCATTATTCTCTTATTGAAGATAAAAGACATTGATTATTTTGGGCATCATCATGTTCTAAAATGCTTCTGATGTATATATTATTACCTGAATGAGGATATGCTAATAAGTTGTTTATTATGGTGATTGCTTGTTTTGTGATATTGATATTCTTGGTCATGACCCTATGAACAAATGCTAGGCAAAGAGTGATCTGGAGATAGCATACCATAAAGCCCATTCTTCAGGTTTGTCTTTACATCAGTATCTCAAAAGATCTATGATAGTGTGCTTGTTGCTGCTGCAAATTGCAAGCAAGCCCCTGAGCACCCTACTAAATGGTTTCATGAATTGCTATGGCCAAAAGAAGTCATCAACTGGCGGCCAAATTCCTAGTGATAACCTTCTCCAATTTTAGCTTGGCTGGTCCTCAAATAGCAGTTCATTGCTTGGTCTGTCCTTTCCAGGTTGCTGGGATCAGAGGCATAATTTGAGAATAATAGCTCTTATCTAGGCTCTAGTACCTAAGAAGCATGCTTCCTTCCTACAGCTCTTTGGAGACTTCTATCCCCATGCCTTGAATCCATTGTCTGTACCTTCATGGAAAGTAGGCAGAAAGCTGAGTCCCAGGAGAGGGTGAAGAAGTGAGGTTACAGACCAGCAGAAATTGGGAAAGCAGAAGATGGAGATGATTTGCCCCTTCTTCCAGCACAACTGTAGCCAGGATAAGATTATTTCTCCTGAAGCCTACCTAGACCCTCCCTCTACCCCTGAATAAATTTGCTACAGGTGCTAAGATTTTTAGTTTTAGCTTTGGGAGGCATTTACCAAAGTCTGCATCATACTGACATTGCTTCCAAACCTCCAAGGTCTTTTCTGTGCCAGGATGACACAGATTTGGCAGCTTTCCATGTACTATGATGTAAGGGGTGCTAAGACTCCTCCTAATATTAGTCTCCTGAAACATCCAATGTTAATGTAACTCTATCAGAGTCTGACCCTGCATCAGCGTGGCCATGGAGATACTGATGCTTTCCCAGGATCCCATTGGCTGCTGGGGTCATGAATTATATATCAAACCTCATAGAACTGTTCTGGAGAATTCTGGGAATGAATCAAGAAGGAGGAAAAAGAGGAAGCAATCTGTGTCCAGATGCATCCTCCATCTTGGTAACATGTAAGGAGGTGCTAACACCCAAGCTTCTTCCCTCCAGCATTTTGGAGAGAACATATAGGGGAAGGTGTTAATACTTCAGTTTATTTCCTCCCAGCACAGACAGACAGACTATTTTGATAGTGTGACAAATATCAAAAACATGGAGCAATGTTCTAAGCTATTAGGATGGCTCACTGAAGATGTAAAGAAACACTCAAAGGGAGAAAGGGATTAAAATTTATAATTAAGCATTGGACAATCTCTCTCAGAATGTCCCTATTTTCTAAATGGCATCTTCCTGAATCCACTGGAACAGCATCCCTTCTGTCTTCATAGACACCAACAAAAAAGAGTGGTCTGAGGGTCAGTTTTGAGTACTGTCCCTATTCTCACCCAAGATAATCTCTTTAAAGGGAAGCCCTAGGTACTGAGGCTTTAAGGCAGTAAATGAAAAATTGAGGGCACAGACATGTCAAAAATAGGGCGAAGGCCCATCCAAGATAATTTCCATCAATGTTTCACAAATTGCTTTCAAATTTGTATTTTTTGATGCTACTGAATAAGCATCTAAAGTACTCTATTAGTAGGACTGAATTTTATTAATTCAGAGAAAAACTTGGTCCTTGCCCAACCATAAGAACTTGCAAAGAATAAAAGCAAAATAGATACAAATATGCACAGGTAAATAGGAAGACAGTTGTGAACACAAAGAGCTAATCAACAATTAAAAACTATCTGCAGCTTAAGCAGAAAACTAGAATTTGCAGTGTTCACCCTCACCCTTCAGAAGCCCATGGGACAGCAGAGAGGAGAACACAGCATACCTTTATACGGAAAATAAACTGCCTAGAGGAAAAGCTTCTAGCAGAACCATTTCCAAATGTTTTAAGCTGTGCACACACTTCTTGCATTTATCACACTATTATGTTAGTAAAAACACATTTTGGAGGCTGAAATAATAAGTCTGAACAAAGAGCTAAACATAGAATGGATGTACATTGGCCTATGGGAATTCAACCAATGTTTTATTTAAAGATTTCGGCAGTAAAGTATTCTAACCGGGAATACTGAGCCCAAAATGTTGTAAATCAAACAAAACATTTGTGAAGGAAAACTCTTTAATTCCTCTCCAAACACTTGT